GTCTTTATACATTTTATTTGTTTCTTCTGTTATCCTCTTCATTAGCATAGATGTTAGGTCATCTTCTTGAATTTCAATTATGCTGGAGTGTCCAGGGCTCCTTGCCCCTGGATAACTGGGTTCTGGAGATGCCATATTGCTCTGTCTTTTGTTGGTTGAGCTTTTACGCTGGCCTCTACCCATTGGGCCATCTTAGGTGTTTTGAGTTAGTTTCTGGTAGTTCTTGGAATCCTGTGGTGGAGAGAATCCCCTTGGCAGGAAGATGGTTTTTCCTGAAGGAAGCCTTCTCAGTTTTTTGGGTATAGTTACTGGATGGCCAGTGTTTTTCAGGAGTTGTCACAGCTCAGCTCAGGCATAGAGACATGAGTGGTAACTGTGGTCCTTGTTAGTTGAGAGGGCTCTCCTTTCACCTGGAGAAGTCCTGAAGACAGCTGTCCTGTTTCTAGGTTTCTTGTTGTAAATTTAATGATCTGCTGCTGTAACCTGTGTATCCCATGGTTTGGTCAGTTTTGTTAGTGATAACTGGTTGCCCCTTGGAGCAGTATCTGGGGGTTGATATCGGGGATTCTGGGCTTTTGTAGGTCTGAGGTTGGGGCTCTGTGCCCCAGTACCCAAGCAGTAATCTGTGGCCGGTGGGTAGTGCTCTCCTGGTAACAGCAGGCTATCTGTGGCACAGCAGGTCCCTGGGTTGGGCCGTTCTGCAGGACCTTTTTTAGGGATATGCTGGGTGACCTAAGTCCGTCCCCTTTGCTTTGTTCCCTGTGAGAATTTCTCCTGACAGTGACTCCCAGTTTCTTGTGCCCTGGGGTGCACAGCTCTGTCTGTGCCAGAGAGCTGGGCGTGCAGCAACTGTCTGTGCCCACGGCTGGAGCCCAGTTCAGTGATGGCGGCTCATATCTGCCGGTCTGCAAGACTTTTTCCAGGGAAAGACTGGGTGACCCATGTCAGTATCATTTCCTTCCTTTCCTGTGGGGTTTTCTCGAGACTGAGACTCCCAGTCTCTGGTGTTTTTTGTGCCCACTGATCAGGACACAAAAGGTGATCAGGACACGCAGGCATGCGGCTCTGGTCTGGCAACCTAGTTCCTGCGTGACCTGGGATCTCTTCCAGGTTCTGGCTGGGTGACCTGAGAGTGGATCCAACTGATTCCCACACCGTGGGCGTTTCCTCTCACCTGGGAAACACTATCGCTGTTGTTTTAAGGCCCTGAGTTCAGTCTCTTGGTCACTGTATGGAAAATGTTGTCCTGCTCCTCAGTCACAGTGTTCCCCTAGTACTGCCATCTTGTCCCCCTGTGTCCTAACTCTTGATTGGCTTAATGAGTTTGCCCCAATTCAAAGATCCTTTATGTTTTTAAAATATAAACCCAGGACAAGGGGGAAATATTGTTCACATAGCTGTGAGGACCTGACTTGGAATTCCTGAATCCAGGTCAGAAGGTCACACATGTAACCCTGGTGATGGGGAGGTAGAGACAGGAGGATCCCTGGAGCTTGCTGGCCAGTCAGATCTAGATAAAAATATCTCAAAAGTGAGGTAGAGAGTGACTGAGAAACAGACTTTTTGTTGGTTTTTGGCCTCCACAAAGGGATGTATGCTTTTACACACACACACACACACACACACACACACACACACACATGCATACACACACAAATGCACACAAAATATAAAACTCTTTTGGAACTAACACAGTTTACTCTGAAACATTTAATTTGCTGAAGAGGATCTCGCTATAGGGGTAATATGATCCTGGTCTCTCCTGCTCACCTACAGGCTTGTAGCCTAACTGGGTAGGAGAGCCTGATCATTTCCTGACACCAAAACCCAGCCAGCATTGTGGCAATCCAGTGCAAAGTCTTAGGGTACAATGGGCCATAAAAGGAGGCATGCTTTTCGTGAACTTTGTTCTATTTTAAGTGCTAGCTTTAAGCACAGCAAGATGTGTGTGCTGAGATTGGAGCTGCAGATGTACAGGCAGGCGTTACATACTGGAAATACATCCTGGTAACCTCAGCACCCCAACCCCCACACACTTTATAGAATCATTTACTGCATGTCTTTAGCAACTTCCTGTAATCACAGATGACTCACAGCCAGAGGACAGACATGAGTTATAGCCGGAAGCTATAAGTAAAATTAACCACACAGGTTTGAAACACACAGACTTATCAGTGTTATGTACTTACCTGCTTCTGTGTCCCTAACAAGTCAAAGTTCAAGTTTAGACTACAGGAAGAGAGCATGAGGCTAGGAAATAAATGCAATCTTGCCATTGATCTGATACCAGATATGAGGGATAGCTCAAAAGTCTGGGTTCCAAAAGTCCCCACAATGCAGGCTGAACTGCCCTTCTGCATGTGTTCATCAAAGGGATGAGTAGGAGTGGAAGACAAAGAGGGAAGATTTGATCAAGGAGGCCACGCTGAGAACAGACAGTGGGGTTCACTGACAACAGTGTTAACACATCAGTAACAGAAGTTTGGAGACCGTGTAAGTGTGTGGTAGGCTCAGGTGTGTGGGCGCTCACACACCTGTGAACGCCTGTAGGTTACAGGCTGACATAGGTGTCTTCTGCTGTTGCTCCTCACCTCAGTTAGTGAGAAAGGATCGATCACCCACTGTCTACACTGTCTAAACAGAGAGTCCAGGGAGCCTTCTGGATGCTGGGGAAATGATTCCTCTTTTCACCCTTGTACAGAAGCACTTTATTTACCCAGTGACTTATCTCCTCAGCCCCTGAGGTTTGAGATTTTATAGAAAAAAATTAAAGGATGGGTTTAGTGTATTATGCTGGCTAGCTATTGTTATCAACTTGATACAAGCTAGGATCATCTGGAAAGAAGAAATCTTAATGGAGAAAATTGATGCCAAATATTGCTGTGGGCAAGTCTGCTGAGCATTTTCTTTTTGTTTATAGAAAAAAATTTAATCTTCACCTTTAAACTATAGACTCTACGTGATTTGGAAAGGAGAGTATGCCAGACAATGATCAAAGAAGAGTCATCTGTTCTATGCTTTTCCTTTTGTCTGATCGCTCAGAAACATGATGCTATCAGCTATGACTGTTGCTTTTTGCCCCATGAAATTTTTATCCATGTATTCACCATAGTCCACATTCTCTTCCACAAATACAGGAGCCCTGTTTTTCACCTCCCTGATACTCCACATCCCTGAGGTCGGGTTGAAACACTGATATTCTGCGCCATGTTGTCTTTTGACTGATATCACCCACGTGGTGTACTCTATGGTCTCTGGTGGTCACATCTCATTTGTTAGAGAAACTGTCATGACTGAGTTTTTCCTTCCACCTGTCTCAGGACAGAGCCCTGACCTACTTGCCTGAGTAACTGAATACCATTCATAGATCGTTCAAGAACCAACCTGCTGGCTACTTTAGATTCATGTCTTACAAACAGATGAAACACCTGTAACACAGGTCTTCAAAACACAGCTTCCGTTTCCCTTACAAACGAATCTTTAGGCTTTTCCTGATGTGCACCCAGCTGCTTGTAGTGCGTTTTCTCAGCTGATTGATGTGGTCATGTGCTTCTGGGAAAGCAGGCTGAGCAAGCCACCATGAAGAGCAAATCTATAAGCCGTGCTTCCCCATGGCCTCTGCTGCAATTTTTGCCTCCAGATTCCGGCCTTGAATTCTTGCCCTGCCAGGTCTGGATGGTGGACTGACTATCCTTTCCTTCACAAGTTGCTTTTGGTCATGGTGCTTTCTCACAGCAATAAAAATTCTGACTAGGGAAGGTGTGTATGGCAGACAGACAGACAGGTAATGTTGGCCAAACCAGTGGTGTAAATAATTCTATTTCAGTTTCGCTTCTCTGCAGGGACCTTGAAAGAAGCTGTTGCTGCTTTCATGGTGTGCATTCCCACGATATGGTTGCTCCTACTCTGAGATACAGCCTCACCATCAAAGTTACTCTCAGTGTGTGTGTGTGTGTGTGTTTGCACGTGTGCTCTGTTCTGTAGATTCATTGCTGTGTGAATGCTTCTTTGTTCTTCAATGCTTATCAATCACTCACATCATTCATACAATACAAGATAAATACATGGGAGAGTAACTCAGGAGAAAGAAGCTAGAGAGGCAGAAACAGGACAATATGGAGTAAGTAGGGTAGGCCAGTGCCCAGTGCTCTCCCTTAGGTCCTCCTGACTCATGCGTCTGGTGACATGAGCATTGCACTCAGTGCGCTATTTCTTTTTTTTTTAATTGATAACTTATGTGCATGGCTCATGGGAAGCCTGACTGACTTCCATGGCTGAATGAATTACCTTCAGTAGGGTAGGGGAAGTATTGCTCTGAACCACCCTCACGTCATGTTCAGATTTCAGAAATCGTAGTCTTTTCATTAAATTTGTGCATATGTATGTATGCATGTTGTGTCCATGTACACACGTTCGGGGACACAGGTCTGTGGGGGGTTGCATGTACACATATGTGCAGGGTACTTGTGGAAGTTCGGGGGTGACAAGGTATTCCTCCCTCCCAAGCTGCTTTACTGAGGTGTGGAGATCGCAGTGCTCTAGCTGGTCCATTTGCCCTCAGGTTTCCCTGCCCCTGCCTCTCTGGTACTGGAATTATGGGTGGCCCTCAAGCCTTCTTATCTTTTAATTTTGTCCTGGGGCTCTGAATTCTAGTTTTTACCCTTGCACAATAACTGCTTTGCCCACCCATTCATACCCTCACCCAATATATTCTGACTATGCAAAAGTTCCTCACAGCAAGAGCAGCACTGTTATCTAATGAAGACACCTGCCCATTCTTCTGTGCTGTAACAGTTTAGCTGGGCCCAGCACTGCAGGACCATAATCTCAGCATTTGGGAGGTGCTGTCAGGGGCTCCAGGATATCTGCTGCAACTTAGTGAGTCTGAGGCCAGCCTGGGATACCAACCAGCCAACCCAATCCAGCCAACCCAAAAGTAAAAAAACAAAAATAAACACACACACACACACACACACACACACACACACACACACACACACTTATCTTGTTTTTGTTTATTTGGGGAAGCATGAACTTTGATGGCTAGGGGAGGTGAGCAGCTTGGTGAGTGCCCAGACTCTCCCACACAGGAAAAAAAAATCAATCCCATCTTCATTTCTTCACAAAATAAATTGGCTTCTGGTGTCATGGGACACAGCCTTATGGTAGACTTTCTGTCAGGCTCCACTTACGGTTCCATCTCTTAACACAGCTGTTAGAATGATGGGTTTTTCTGGCTGGAAAAATCCTTGCTTTCTTAGTTTTAAAGGGGTCTGCAACAGTTACATGAAGGTCAGCGAGAGTCGAGCGATGAAGTGTCAACAATCACAGAAGCAAGGGAGAGATTCATTAAGGATGAATATGTTTTATAAGTACATCAAACTACTTTTTTCCTCTGATATCATTCCTTAGGAGCCATCCAAGTTTAAAAAAATTAGGGTCTGGGTAAAACTCAGTTTTTCATGCTTACAACACTGGCATTTTCCTGAATGAACCACTCCCCAGAATTTAGAAAATCTTTATACATTTATTTTAAAGCAAAAGACACAGGCCCCAAACCGAAGGCCCTAACCCTCAGCAGATGTCACCAAAGAAGATACTTGGTTTATAGAATAAACTAAAAAGTAAGTAAGCTTTTATAGACTTCTTTGCATATAGATGTCCCGATTAAAAAGCCAGCCCATATGTAACTTCCTGAGAAAGCACACTGACCTGAGTTTCCTTACAAGGTTGGAAGGAGAAGTTCTGCAGGAGTCTGACAAGGGCAACTTTCATGTTCATGAGAGCAAACCTCATGCCAATGCAGTTCCTGGGTCCGTTCCCAAAGGGCAGGTATGTGTAAGGGTTGATGCTGTCTTGGTTCTTCTTGCTGAACCTGGTACCACAGGAGCAGAGGAAGACAAGTTCATGAAGCATGAACCACAACAGCTGATTGTGGGTATCTTTTAGATACCCATAAGCAGAGGTAGACTGGAAGCTTCCCTGGGCTGGATGTGGAAATCTTGCCGGGGCTTTTTAGAGTTAATCTTTGGCAGTTTCTTAGTTATATACAACACACTGTGACCCCATTTCTTTCAATTCGTTTTTCCCAACCAGTTCCCCTCCCACTTTCATGCCTCTTTGTGTGTGTGTAAGTCTTTTATAGGTGGTCACAGATGCTTTTATTTATGATGGAAATGGCCATGTCTTATCCAGAAGACAATCTATAGCACACCTCCCAACTCTCTAGCCACCATAGTTCACCCCTTCCTCTGTGATATTTCCTTGAAGTGGGTGATACACTGTAGGAATTGTGGGCCACAGGCCTCTCCCTTTATTATGGAGAAGCTTTAAATTGCATTGAGATAAAGTCAATGCTGTTCAAGATAGCACATTGTTATCTATCTGTCCGTCCATCCATCCATCCATCCATCCATCCATCCATCCATCCATCTTTGAGACCAGGTCTTAGTGTGTAGCCCTGGGTGGTCTGAAACTCTGTGTAGAACAGAGAGCCACCACCCTTTGCCTCTTAAGTGCTGGATTAAAGGAATGGGTCACTACACTCAGTTTATGAAAATTTATTTTTAAACAAGAAAAGTGCATTTAGCACAGTGATGTGTTCGTATTCCGACACATAAGAAATGAGACCAGTTGAAGGAAAGTGTGTTGTTGCCTCAGCTAACACTTCTGCTTGTCACTTGCTCACTGGGCTCAGAGGATGAAAGATCTGCCACTACTGAAAAATTTGTTTTTCCCGTTCACTCTGCAGTTCTCTCCTCTTTTCTCAATTATTCTGTTTATTTTTTACTACATGTCCTGTCTTTCTTTTTATTTTCCACTTCCTCCCAGCTTTTCTCCTTTCATTCCTTCCCTCTCAATTCCTTTCTCCATTCTTGCCCTCATCCTACCTTCCCTTCTTTTCTTTCCACTTTTCTTCCTTCTTGTTCTCCTCTATCCCTCTCTTCCTTTCATCCCTTCTTTCATTATCTGCTTTTGCTTCTTCCTCCTTCTTTTGATTCTTTCTATTTCCCTTCCTTCCTTCCTTCCTTCCTTCCTTCCTTCCTTCCTTCCTTCCTT